AAGAGGGATAAGTTTTAACTAGTATTTTTATCTAAAAGTCCTCTCTTTTAAAATAGTTTGACACATAAGTTAAATTTTCACACTGTATGAATTCTATGGGCTGTATGCTAAAATATTCCAAAGTATGCCCCTGAGAGTTGAAATGTTGATAGAGGAAACCAGTATTTATCTTTTGTCGAGAACCTTTAGATAATCATCCTGCCTCTCAAAAACTACAATGTTTTGTCTACATATTGAAGCTCACCTTTTCTGCAGCTAAGTATAACACACTTAACCCTTTCCAGTCGGGTCATGGGTGAAAAGCTATGTCATCGTGTTTGTTGACTCACATTCAAAATCTTATTGAACTTCTATTTCATGAATTTATGTCAATAAGTTTGATATCAAACTGTAGATTATAATTAAAATTTAAGTATTATACCTTACTAAATTTCTAAATTTAAAAGTAAATGTAAAAAAGATAAACAGTTAAACATCGATTTTTTGTGTGTCACGTGGTATGTTGAATGCAGCACTGGTTCAAATTATATGTTTGTGATGTCAAAATAGTCTATAGTTTCGTACGAATTAGGAACTCAAATTACTGATACTGTCAAGCTAGAATATAAAATAAGAGCCTCTTATCTTTTCAATTTGCTAAGATATTGCTTACGAAATAAATTAAATACAGTGGCACCCTGCTCATTACTTTCCATTTTTTGAAATGCTCCCTTATATACACTTACTTCTATATATGACATGAATAACAAATCGAAAGCTCAGAATGTTCCCCAAGTGGCTTTCTCAGACATTTTATCTTCTTTGGATGCCATATCTTTCTTTTCAACCAATATTTCAATGAGGTAGGTTATGTCTCAAGTCTGCTCAAAATTTCATATTTTTTAAGACTCAAATACAGCTTAATTACAAGTTATAAATTTTAGTGGAACTCTATGGTATTGATATAATAATTTATGATTTTTGGTAATTCAACTGTATATATAAAACCTAAAAAAAATTGTTTTGTTTCATATCCTCCACATGCACAATTTTAAAATGCTTAGCAACCTACTTCAAGCAGCAACCGAGTACAAAATGTCACAACTAGAAGAGATAATTGTTTGCTTTATTTCTTTAGTTACTGTTCTATGTTTTAAGAAAAATAAGTTTAAGAACTTATTTCTAAATATCAATAATCTATATACATATATCATGTATAATAATTGAAATGTGACTGTATTTTACAAAATACTAGTCTACTAAAACACAGCCAAGACAGGTCACTTTGTAAAGAAGTCAGTTTTATATTATTGGATATGGTAACATGAGGGCACATGTGCCATGTCATTTTAATTTCTGTATTGTTAGCCAGGATTGGCTGAAAGGTCAGTATAATAAAAATAATAAATATATATAAATGTATAATGTTATGAGATTTAAGCTATTTAATGTAAACATATATGTTTTCATGTTATAATTTGTAGTCATTCTAGAATGAAAAAGGAATAATATATATTTATTTCCTATGTTTTTTTAACTTGGTTACGAGATTGTCAAATCGACCAAACTCATACAGAGATTCATTACTGAAAATAACAAATGAAATATAAAGTTTTTTCTTATGAAACATTTGATAACTATCTGGACATTATAAAGATTTCGCATGTGCAATTTGAAAATTTTCTGATGCACAAAAGAATTTTTAATCTTAAAATGAAAATTACTTTGCATGTTGGATAGGCAACATGAGAAAAGAAAAATAAAAGACATGAGAAAAACGTTGCTGTACAAACCTTAAGACTTAATAAAAAAAATTTTATATTTTATGTATGAAAGCATTGTAATGTTTATTGATAATCTGCCAAAACTTGTTAACATACGCTTACTAATTAAAAAGTTATAGCATAAAAACTATAACAAGCATAAAATGGTTATGAGGCTAGCCCCAGGGACCGAGCCCGTACTGAAAGAGTTAATGCTGTAGAGTAAATTCCAAAGACTGTTACAAATAAAAGTTCACATTTTGTTTGTAATGTAGTTGGTGAACGTATTGTTACAAACTAGGTGGTCACAAGTTAACCCTCTCACCACAGGCATGTTAAAGTGCACATGTCCCGACTTTTCAGAGTTTCTTACTTTCAAATTTTAATTAAGTTACTTTATTATCATAGCATATGAACAAACATGGCATCAAAATGTAGTTAGTAAATCAAATTTTAATATTATACAAGTTTTAAGTTCTTAATTTTAGAAATAAATATTTAAAAAATCCTCAATCTCTCCTAATATTGTTTGTTTGATTTGTACCTCTTGAGTACTGATTCCAAAATGTTTAATAAATGCTTCCTATTATTACATTTGTGTTTCGCATTATCATTAAATTAGTCTTTATAATATTGTAATCACTCAGGTAAAGCATAATTTTTATAGCTTTCAACCTTATTTCTTTACAGAGCCATAAACTAGAAAATCAGACCCACTTGCAATGTCCATCTGTCACATCCTCTCTTTCACAAATTGTCAAATTCTCTCTAATATTTAATGTTATATTATTTATAACCAATAGAAAACTACAGTTTTAATCTATCAATTGACATATAATATTGTGTACTTTTCTGTACAAAGAATTGTCTATTTCACATTAAGTTCAAACTTTATTCCCATAAAAAACATATCAATGAGCTTAGTTGAATTTTGAATGGCTCTTATCAGATAGCTAGAAAACCAGGTAAATTATGATAGTTGCAGGACATTGCTTGCATTTTATGTATTATTATTCTGTGTTATTAGATGCATTATTTAATGTAGTAGTACCATTAGTATAGAAAATTTGGTTTAAGTTTCACTGACAGTTGACAGCAAAAACAAGAAGACTCGGGTAAGTACAATATTCCTTGTTTTTCGTGTGTATTCTATATTTATTATTATAAAAGTAACTAAGATGTAAAAAATTAGAAACTCATTAGGTTGGATTAGGTAAGACAAATAATAATAATAATAATAATTCTTCACAAGGTATGCTTGCAACACATTCACTGAGTGATTGAGAACTTGTGTAGCAGAATTATTAGTTAAACACAGTTCAAAGGGCAATAGTTTGTTTGGAATTAAGCACAAAGCTATACAATTGGCTATCTGTGCTCTGCCCACCATGGGTTTTTAGCATGGTAAGTCTGCAGATATACCGCTGTGTAACTGGGGGGCAAGGGAAATAGAATAATAAAATTCAAATAGAAACAGATGAATACTGTTAGGAGCTTTAACTCTCTCACTACAAGGTCGGCCCAATTGATCAACCTCATAACCACTCATTATAGTCTCCATACTATAACTTTTAATACAGTAGATTATCTTGTTTGTTTTGAATTTTGCGCAAAGCTACACGAGGGCTATCCGCGCTAGCCGTCCCTAATTTAGCAGTGTAAGACTAGAGGGAAGGCAGCTAGTCATCACCACCCACCGCCAACTCTTGGGCTACTCTTTTACCAATGAATAGTGGGATTGACCGTCACATTATAACGCCCCCACGGCTGAAAGGGTGAGCATGTTTGGTGTTAATAGATTATCTTTACAACATTTTGCAGAATTTTAGTAAAAATTAAGTCTTTTGTACACAAAAAATAAGATTTTTTAATGAAGTAATTTTACTAAAGAGTTGTCCATGAATAAATATAGTCTTTTTTATACTATTCTGAGTGTGAAGTGATTTCCATGTTGAGATTAAATATACTTTTCTTCATCTCAAAAATCTCAAATTTCATTTGCATAGTCTCTAAAACTCCTAAATAAATTTCAAACGTTTTTTAGTAAAACATAATATTTTATCTGTTGTTTTCTCTTCCCTAGCTCTATGCAAGGTAGATGAATTTGACTGACTTTTTACCTACCACAAACAAAAAATTGAAATAAATCTAAATTTTCCTTTTTCTAGAAAACTACCTTTGTTTATCCTAAATAACTGTAAACTTGGAACAGTATACATCTATTCATACTTAAATTTTGTTGTTTTATTGCCCTCTGAACTGTGTTTAACTACTATTTGTGTCATTACAAGTTGTTAATGACTTGGCAAACATCCAGCCCATGTTTCCCTATCAAATTCCATTATGCATGAGTTACTTGCAAGCATATCTTGTGCAAAGTATTATTATTATTTATCTTACCTAATTAGCTTCTAATTTTTACATTTTAATTAGTTTTATAATAATAAATAAAGAATACACATTAAAAACAAGAGGAAATTTAGTACTTACTGGGTCTTCTTTATTTCTGCTGTTGACTGGCGATGACACGTAACCCTATTTTTTATACTAATGATATTACTGCACTAAATAATTTTTTTATTTAATCAAATAATGGTCAAGAGGACACAGAATATTAACATGCAAAAAGCAGACAATTTCCCATAACTATCACAATTTTTGTGGCATTCTTACTGTGCAACAAGAGCCATTACAATTTCATCTAAACTATTTGATGTATTTACCTTGGGAATAATGCTTGTACTGAAAGCAAAATTGACAATTCTCTATACAGATGACAATGTAATATAGTAAGTCACTTGATAAATGAAAACTTTGGCTTTCTATTGGTTATAAATAATATAGTGTTGAACATCAGAGAGAACTATTGGCAACTTCTGAAAGAGAAGATGTAAATAGGTAGGCATGGCAAGAGGGATCTGATTTTCTATTTGATGGCTTTGTGTTACCAGATAAGATAAGGCTATGAAAAGTATGCTTTGCCTGAGCAATGAAGACATTATGAGTAATTTAGGTTAAATTTTGTACTTCTTGAAGGGACAATAAATATATTAGTTCTGAGGGGGATTCCTAGGGAGAAAATGTCAGAATTCTCACACTAGGAGAAATTCAGGATTCTTTTAAATATTGCTTTATAAAATTAAGAACATGAAAACTTATATACTACTAAAATGTAGATTATTAGCTACATTTTTATGGTATACTTATTGGTATACCATGAAAAGAAAGCAGTTTAATTAAATTTTGAATGAAACTCACCAAAAACATTGTGACATGTGCAGGAAAAGATGCCTGTGGAGAGAGAGTTAAGCTATTTAAGAAAAACAATTGTAGTTTTATGTTCTAGAAAGAAAAAAAGGGTAATTTAGATTTATTTCATATTTTTTATGGTAGTTTTGAGGGTGGTCTAATTTACCGATTGTGTATAGTTAGGGTCAAGAAAATAACAAAATATAAAGTTTAGTGAAAGAAAAACGTTTGAAATTTATTTAGGGGTTTTTGTAATTGCTCAAATGAAATTTAACAATTTTGAGAGGAAGAAAAGCATTTTTAATCTTAACCCTTTCATTTTGACCTCACTTTTTAACTCCTTTTTGCACTAATCATGAGGTTTTACTGAGTTACATTCAAAATTTAATTAAACAAATGTAGTATCAATGTATTCTAATGAAATTAGCATTATAATTGAAAGTTTTATATAAGTTTGAATTCCTTTATTTCAAAAGAAACCTTCAAATAAAAATACTTAAACTTCAGTTTTGTTCTCATATGATGCACGAGGGATCACAGATCTTAAAGTTTTGTCTCTATTACTTGAATAACAGCTCATGTACTTTGTACATGTATGTCTAGACTGAATCTACTGCTACTGTGCTGTTTGCATAATCTTAGTTCAAATTCCATTAGGTGAACTGGAGATCAGAAAAAAATATTTTTTCCCACCACTTGACAGTAAAATGCCCACCTTTTTATTTGGAAATGTTACTTCAAGCAACATGCACTTATGTGATTGATAGGTTTATAACCAATAGAAAGAGTTCATTTTAAGCTACAATCTCCTAATTGTTATTTTAAAACTGGCGTGCAATATTTATTACCAAGTATGTCAAACAGCCGGTACATTGTTTGCTGATTTTGTCCTTGCTAGCACTTAGCATTATCTCTCACCTAGATGCATAGATACATAGATAGACAGTTAAATTGTATTTAAGTTTAATAGGGACAGTGGGAATCTCGCTAATCCATTCATGCGCGTCACTAATAATAATATTTCCACGCTGATTTCTCCAAGCCCGTTCCCATGGCTGTGGTTTCGCTAGATAGTAGATAGGGACAGTGGGAATCTCGTTAATCCATTCATGCAGGTTCATGAGGGCTGACTTAATTACTACACGAGTGCAAACAATTTTGCCAAAGGCTTGCAATACCTCTGCTCAAGGTAATGTAATATGCTCTGAGGACATCTGTTGGCATGTCCAGAAATGTCATAAACCATAAAGGACAAGAAAGAAAATAAAACACTAAAAATAAACAAAAATGGAAAAAGTAAAGACCCTAAGCTACAAATATAACCAAGATTAATCCACTATTGTTAAAAGTTATGTGCATATTTTTATTTCTTAATTTTAAACATTTCATTGCACTGACGATAACAGCTAGTTAGTAATATGGTAGAGAAAATGGAAAATAAAACATAAACATTTATGTTAAAAACTTTTGATAATCATTTAGGTGGTTCTAGAGATTATTCAAGTGAAATTTGAAAACTGTAAAATAAAATAAAAATAATTTTTATATTAAACATGAAAATTACCTTGCACTTAAACTACTCAGGATCTAAGTGCAAAAAATTACAATAAATAAACAAATTTTGAGAGAGTTACATAACCTACTTATAATGTAAGAGGTTGATGTGAAATGTTTAACATGGAAATTACTTGTACTCAGAGTAGTCAACACTTTGACTCCATATATTCACAGAGAAATTTTTTTTAAACATACTAAATTAAAATTCTGATTTTTCATCTGCAAAAGACTCTTAATGATTAATGAAAGCTTGTAAAATTTCTTGAAGATACACTAAACATCTTAAAAGTTATAGCATGGAAATTCCTGCTAGGTCATTTTTCACAGTCATCATGGTATTAGAATAAACTGTGGGGGCATTGCTTAACAAGGCTATAAAGGAGCTATTATTAATATTCTGCACTGACTTATTCATAATATAGAAGAGCTGTATGAACAGCAAGCTAATCTTTCCAATCATGCATTGAGTTATGCAACCACAGCATCAAGAAGAGAATACTGCCCTAGTAATTAACATTATCTTCCAATCACAGTAAGCTATGTACTTACAGCAAAACTACAAATCAGCCTGGCAATCAGTACAGTTTATTAAATATATTTTTTGTATTCTTTTTCATAAAGGTTAGAATGCACTGTTTCATCAGTTGGGTACTCTTGCTGTTAATGATATTTTTGGCCATAATCTCACAAGGTTCAGCCAACTTAGTAGTAGTAGTTAATCGTAAATACAAACATAAAGCTAACAATGCAAAACAATCTTTATGATAAAAATTTAGTAATAAAAAATTAACCAATATACAAAGTGATTAAGAGCAAATCTCACAATTATCATACTAAGGGAGATTGAGGATTTTTTTTAAAATTTCCTGATAAAATTAAGATCTTAAAACATATGTGATATTAACATTTGACTTATTAACTATGTTTTGATGCTAAGTTTATTTGTATACAACAATAATAATGTAGTTCAATTAAATTTTGAATGTAACTTTCTAAAAAGTCATGACATGCACACTTTGACCTACCTGTAGTGAGAAGGTTAAACAGTAATATGTTTGAAATACAAACATCACTCCAATGTGAGGTGAATTAAGATGGTTTTTCTTTTCTGGTAAAAAGATGAGATAGAGATATGGAGAAAACAAACTTATTATAATAAGTTCACATTTTCAAAACGATTTTCTTCTATGACAGTACTTCAAGCAAACAGCTAGTATTTCTGTGTTCCCTGTTTAAGGTATGTTATTTATTTATCATCACTTTCATTAAAAATATTGGTTACATTAATAATTAAATCGAGTGCAAATATTTTTTTTGTTAGTAAGCTTTTGTGATAATAATTGTTTTGTATTGTTAGTTTGATATATGTATTTAGAATAAGTTATATTTTCTAAGCTGGACATTCTTTACAAGGTGTTATTGTGATTATGGCTAAAGATATTATTAATAGTGAGGGAACCCAACTGATGCATTGTAATCTTTATAAGCAGATGTGTAAAAAACTTGTATTTCATTAGCCACACTGATTACCAAGTTGAGTTTTTGTTTCACTCTAAGTACATAGCTTACTCTGATCAGAAGGTAATATTAATAGCACATCAATTTTTCTTGTCTGTGTTACACTGAGTGGTTTCAAATAAAAAAAAATATATATATATATATATATATATAGAAAAATCATAATATATAAAAAAATAATCTCTTAAGGTCGTGAACTGTCATAAAATCTGATAA